TTTATTTATTTATTTGAGAGAGAGTGAGAGCTAGAGAGAGAGCACACACAGAAGGAGAGGGAGAGGGAGAAGCAGACTCCCCGCGGAGCAGGGAGCCCGATGCGGGACTTGATCCCAGGACCCTGGGATCATGACCTGAGCCGAAAGCAGACACTTAACCGGCTGAGCCACCCAGGCGCCCCGAGGTCTTCAATTCTTAATGGTATCCTTAAAGTCCCTTAGAAGTCTGGAGACAAAAAAAAAAAAAAAAAGTCTGGAGACCTCAGGTTGAGAACCACAGATCTTAGGAATATAGTCTTCACCCTTTCCTTTTGGGAAGGGAGAGAGGAGAGAGAATTACTATCCTTGAACTTTTATGCTGTGCCAGAAATTTGTCTTAGGCAAAACAAGCCTTCTATTTAATGGCTACCTTCTTTGCTTTCTAGGTGTTTGATGGGTGTCATGAGAGTCATTTCACAACATGCTTCCGTACCAATCTGCATACATTCTCCTGGGTGGGAAACGGGCCTATTTATGTTGATAATGATATTGATGAAAACAATAAATAACAATTATAATAACTATTTATTATGGAACCACCACTTTAGCTAGGTGCTGAATCTCATGGGAGAAATAAACTCTCAGATCCACCCTTCAGTTTCAGAAGGAAGCCATTTAGTCATCAAGATGGCTAGATGAAACTACATCACCTGTGTGGCTTCAAAATAGAGACACTTGCTAAATCAACAGAGATTCTGGTAATAGTTTGCATACATTTATTATAATTGCCCTCTGTTTTTTTTAATCAATGAGATGGCCTGTTTTAGGTCCTAATAAAGTACTTTAGGCCTCTCCTGAATATTCCTAAGGTGTTGTCTTTAAAAAAATAAAGCAATTAACAAGAAGAAATCAGCTAAAGTAAAAAGAAACCACATATGAACTTAACTGGAAATGACTGAATTATCGGTCATTGGGATATTAACATGTGTGTTGGGTTCTTAAATTTTTCTCTCCTCCCATTTCTTACAGAGATCCAGGAGAGGGAGATTTGTGGCAGAGCTGGAAGTAGAAGCTGCTTGAAGCCGGTGGCTTTTATGTCTTGAAAAGAATTGTATTACTTGATAACATCAAGCCAGATGTCTCTGGATGGGAATGGAGGGCATTTGAAGGCAACAAGAGAAGAGAGGTCAGGGTTTGTGGGTCCTTCCAGTAGTGGGGACATGAGTAGTTTTCCGAATCAGGATCCAAGGAAGACTATGGTGGGCTCAGGAAAGCTGCGCACCTAGTCTTACCAAAGATTCCCCTAATCCAGAGGCCCGGATAGAAGCGGCAGGAGCAATGGATCTGAAGAAATCATGCCAATTCAGTAAATGAACATCTGATCCCTAACCAATGTGATCAGGTATCTGATGACAGTGGGAATCTCATGCTAGATCAGACCATAGCATGTTTGTACAACTAATGGAGATAGGGAATCCCTAGTAACAACTTAAGTGGGCATCCCAGCAACGTGCTACATTTGAATCTCAGGATCTTATTTATGTTCATTTATTTATTTATTTTTTTTTTAAAGATTTTATTTATTTATTTGAGAGAGAGAGAATGAGAGACAGAGAGCACGAGAGGGAAGAGGGAGAAGCAGACCCCCTGCTGAGCAGGGAGCCTGATGCGGGACTCGATCCCTGGACTCCAGGATCATGACCTGAGCCGAAGGCAGTCGCTTAACCAACTGAGCCACCCAGGCGCCCCTTATTTATGTTCATTTAAAGGCAATTTATTTTTTTAGAGATTTATTTACTTGAGAGTGTGAGTGCACATGCATGCACGTGCAGGGGGGAGGGCAGAAGGTGAGAATCTTCCAGCAGACTCCCTGCTGAGTGCAGAGCACAGATGTAGGACTTGATCCCACAACCCGTAAGATCATGACTTGGGCCAAAACCAAGAGTCGGACGCTTAACCAACTGAGCCACCCAGGTGCCCCTAAAGGCAATTTTAAAATGTGGTATTTCTAACATGTTCAAGTGTGTAAGCTAAGCTCCATCTGTTTGCTAGGCCTCCTATTCAAAGTTTCAAAGAACGAAGGAAACAAACTCTTATACAGTGTTTTCTGAGTGTTATGAACTATTACACAACTGTCCTCTGAATGTATGAGTCCTTAAGAACTTTTCTAGTTGGCCAGGCCCTAGGTCCCTCAGAGGGCATAATAGTTCTAAGACTATATGGCAAAGTATGAACTATGGTTATTTCAGGTGTGCGTATGCTAGAAATCTTAGCTGTCCTCTCTGATCCATTTTTCCTCCCTGCTCTGTGTCCCCCAAGCTTACCAAGGTAGATTACATCAAATGTTTTCCATGCCCTTTGGCTTCCAGTTTGGTTAAAGGGTAATGCCCAGAAGCATTAATTCAGGTATTTTTTATGCCCTCATCCTGGATTCTCTGAGGTCTCTGTGAGCTAACTGCATCCTGAAGATCACAGTTGTCAGGTGGCCCTTTCCATATAGTTGTCTACCAACCAGTAACCACTCCCTCCTCCCTCCCCCTTCTCACTGCTCCTACTTCCTCCCCTCCCCGTTCCTCTCCCACCCCTCCTCCACACTCTCCCCTTCCACTCCTTCCCCTCACCCTGCTCCCTACCCTCCTACTCTACTTTTCTTTGCTTATAGGTAACACCATATGGCAGGCTCAATTGTGAAATCTTAACCCCCCAGTACCTCAGAATGGGACTTCGTTTGGAGATGGAATCTTTACAGAGGTAGTTAAGTTAAAATGGGGTTATTAGGCCTCCTTAGAAGAAGCGATTAGGACACAGGTGCAGAGGTAAAGACCATGTGAAGTCATAGGAAGGCAGCCAACTACATGCCAAGGAGAGGCCTCAGAAGAAACCAACCCTGCCAATACCTTGATTTGGGATTTCTAGACTCCAGAACTATGAGAAAAGAAATTTCTGTTAAGTCACCTAGTTTGTGGTACTTTGATGTGGCAGCCCTGGCAAACTAATACACGCCATGATTTTACTCCTCTGCTGACAACTTGGGAAAAAAATTTCTCTATTAAACTTCTCAAATCATCTTATTTTGAGTCCCGTTTATTTCCTGCTGGGACCCTGACTGATCCAGTAGGATTATACAGGACTTTTTTTTTTTTTTTAAGATTTTATTTGAGAGTGAGTGAGAGCAGGGTGAAGGGCAGAACAGGGTGAAGGGCAGACGGAGAAGCAGACCCCCTGCTGAGCAGGGGGCTCCATGCGGGCTCGATCCCGGAACTCCGGGATGCTGACCTGAGCTGAAGGCAGATGCTTAACTGACTGAGCCACCCAGGTGCCCCTATACAGGACTCTCATTTCTAGATTTGTTCTTACTGTATTTTCCAAAATTTCTGCAGTAACATGGAATACTTTTTTTTTTTTTTTTTTGCACACTAAAGAAGTAAAAAACACTATCATGGGACAAAACCTGGTTTGGGAAATTTCCATATAGAATGGATTTATAATTATAGGCCTCCAACATCAACCCTCCTCCACAAATCCCCTACTCTGGATTCCCACTGTTATGTCTAAGGGATTATGAAAACAGAACAGGACCTCAATGTTGCAACCAGGGAAAGTGGCCATCCTTGGTCCAAAATCTCTAAGTATTTCTGATAGTGGTATTTCTACAAGTATTTCTGAAGGTGGCTGTCCATGCTTCCTTTTGTGGGAAAGAGCAAAGCTCTGCACAAGTGTAAGGGACTGTTAGAGTACCCACTAAATATTCTGTTATACCAGCCCAACTTACATAGGGGCAAGGTGCATCAGGAACAAAACCGCCTCTTCTAAGCAGCACTAGAAAGCGATCACACTTTGAGAAGCCACAGTGAGAGGGCAGGGGAGGGGAACTGGCATGACAGCATACTCCTGGCTGCCACACCCAACAGAAAAAGGAATTCTTTCACTGGAAGTCAGAACTCTCTGATACCATCTAGACCTTTCCTGAGCCTGCTGACTTGTCAGCCTCAGTAATATTAAAGGCACGCTGCAAAATACTTGCTTTGAAATTTAGAAACAAATTTTATTTAAGATCTGAAATACAATTCCTAAAATATCAACTTCTCCAGAAAACCGTGGCTACACAATAATGCATTGCCTCTATCATGTTAGAACGTGCATTAGACTCAAATACAAAAACCATGAAACAAATCACCATCCTTCAACAATTTGAGCAAAGATAGAATGCCTAAGGAACAACATAGATGGACTTGCAGAGGATGGGCTGTTTTACTTCAAGCACCATAAAAAAAAAAAGAGCACAAATGCATGGGTTTTCAGGTATATACATTAAGTTGAACCTTTGGCACTAGGAATCAGGGCATTTTGTCACGTAGCATTAACACATATTAGAAAATTGTGTAGTGTCAAAGGGATAGAACCACCAGCATTCAAGCAATGTTGTCAACTAGGCAATAAAATGTTCTACTGAATGTTTCTTCTTTGTCTAATTACTGCGTACACTGGTAGCAACTTTGAAATGAGAAAAGGAGCTTGTACTCCTTTCATTTTCTGTTTAAAACGAAACAGAAAACAAACTGAAACATAAGCCCTGTTATACATTAACAATTTTAAAGAACATCAATTATACAAGAAAAAGACTAAGAACAAAAAGAGTGTTTACAGATACCAGACGTTAACAGTGAGTGGTCAGTAGACCCTCACAGGGCTTTGCGGTGGTACTCAGCCGAAGCCACTTTGTAATCACTGGCAGTAAACAGAGATGCAGCATTCTTTGCCAGATATTTTAGGAAATCATGCAAATAGCCCAACAATAATGCAAGGCTCTTCTCATCAAGGGGCGTATATGCCAACATTGCTCCAATTCTCACAAATAATCTCAGTAGGTGTGGGGCTCCATAAACCTGGGACATTGGCGCATCAGGGTGAGCCAAGAGGATTTCTGCATACTGGGGCCTCTCAAATTTGTAGAGCAGCTGAGTGCCCAACATCACATTGAAATATTCTTTTATTCCGGCCACAACTTCATTAACCGCATATTCCTTATTATCAACATTTCCCTGCGACTTCTTACAATTTGCATACTCTTCCAGAATGGCATCTACATTTTTCTTAGCAGGGAGCTGAAACAGCTGCTTCTGCCTGGTAACTAAGTCCCAGTCCTCAACAAGCCATGGTTTTAATTCTTCAGGAATCTTCACTTTAACTTCCATTCTATTCTTAAATGCCTCCTCACTTTCAACAGTGGGATCTGCCCGGGCCCTTTTCTTCCGAGGTGGCTGGGGTGCTTCGCTGGTACTGCCACCATCTCCGTTTCCAGGAGTCTTCTGCTTGTTCTTTCTTGTCTTCCTCACAGATCCCGAAGGGGGGTTCTCTGCAGAGCGACCCCCCCATCTGCCTGGGAGAGCCGGTTCCAGATTCTTCTGCTGTGGACCAGCAGTCTTCTTTCCTGAGGAGGCCCCTCTCATCTTACTTCTTTGCATATTGCTTCTAGTTGGTTTTTTGAAGTTGTCTTCTTCTGCAGATTGTTGTCCACGAGTTTGAGACCCCTGCTTTCTGGAACTCATTCAACCCTTTTTTTTTCCAACCACTGTAATATATAAAGGATTTTACTTGGTTGTTTTCTCTTGTGACCTTTAACACACACTGCTTCTTAAAGGCCCACCAAAGTAAAACAGAAACTATTCTCTGGGAATTTGGATTTCAAATCCTAGTTCAGGATCATCTGTAAGTGACTTACTACTTCCACCCTCTCTTTGATCGTCACTACCAACCACTACTCTCACGCCCCCATCCGATCACTCATTGGACTTGCCCATTAAGTTAGTTTTTTGGTGCCACTCAAAAGACAGGAATATAATTTTAGAAAAAGAATGAATTAAATGGAATAAAACTGCAGAAGGCAGCAAAATTGAAATTAAAGACTCTGAACAGGAGAAATGACAAGATGAAAGAAATAAGAAAGATTGGTTGACTGGAGGCAAAATGAGTAACAGTAAATGCTTTTGTAGGAGTCCAGGTAGGCCTGAACTAGGGTGATGACAGAGTCAAGAGAAACCGAATACAGAACTTGGTAAATGAAGAGGGAGAAGTCAAAGGTGGCTCTGTAATTTTAAACCTAGGTAATTAATGAATTAATAAAAACACTGATTTTAATGGTTAGTTTAGAATCAGCAATAAAGTAATAGGAAAGAAATAATTCATCCATTCAATTAGTCATCATACATTAATGCATATTTGTTTTGGGACAGGTACTATGCTAGGTGCTAGGGATTCAAATATCTAAAGTGGCAATTAAAAAAATAAGGTTAGTACAATGACAGTTATAAGCACAGAGTACTTTGGAGCAAATGAGAAATGGTACATGACACCGCTTTCAGTATTAGCTTGTTGGAGGAGGTGATAAATCAGTGAGGGAGAAGTCAGTGATGATTCCCAGGTTTTGAGAATGGGTGATTAGGTCATTAGTATATCAACAAATGAGAGTGCATCTAAAGAAGGAGGAAGTGGATTAGAGAGGAAAGAAGTTCAGTACTGGATCTACGAAGTGTGAGGTATACAGTTAGACATTTAACTTTAAAGCTCAGGTGAGGGTCAGAGCCAGAAATGGAGATCTGAGAGTAATCATCATACAGCTGCTACTGGAAGCTATGAAAGTCATCAAAATCATTCATGGAGAGAAGAGGAAGAAAAACTGCACCAAAGTATGAAATTCTGGAAAAACCTAAAAAGAATGATATTTAAGGGGTGAGCAGAGAGACCAAGAACAAAACAAAAATGGTCAGAGCACCCATAGAAGCATTAGGAGAATGTTGTTTTGGAAGCCAAAGAAGTTGAGAGTTTTAAGATGGGCAAGGAATAATAGTATAAAATGCAGCAGAGAGAACTGTGAGATAAAGATGAAAAAATAGTGTTCTATGATTCTTATAGTGTGACAGATGAAGCAATTTTTTTTGACTTACATAATCCTCTTCCTTCTTTCCCTTCCAAGAACTCCTAGTGTTTTCCCAGATGGAACCTCCTAGATCTCCTGGGATGGTCTGGAAGGATGAGGTGGGAGACACAACCTAGAAAGGAAAACAGGTTCTGCAATGAAGATGAACTTTTATGAAATAATACAGAAAAAAAACCCCCGTACTTTTTTGACTGTAATATCAGAGAAATTATATATCTGAGAAATTAATATCAGAGAAAATATATGAGCTCCACTGTTAGACATACTTCTACTTCAGTTAGGCTCTGCCATTTATGAATTGTGAGGACTTGGGCAAGGTATGTAAGCTCTCTTAGCCTTTTTTTCCTCATCTATGGAATGAGGCAAAACTATCCCTTGACTTCACAGGTTCTTCTTAAAAACTTTATAAATACAATTTGGCTAAACAGCACAGTGTCTTGCAGGAATACGTGTGAATATGGACACAAAGATGTTCACTGCAGTGGTGCTCTTAATATTGAAGAACTGGAAACACCTATATATTCATAATACAGATTATGTATGCACACTCTGGAAGAACATTCAAATGAATTAAGCAGAGAACCACGAATGAATATGGAAAGATGCTTGAGTCTACATTATTAGGTAAACAGGCATAAGGCATAATATGTACAATAGGATACTGAAGAGATAGAACAGGTCGAGAAATAACTATCAGTCCTATACAGTTCTTACGTAGAGTGAGTGTGATCAAACTCCTGTTTTAAACTGATACGTATAAATGCATAGGAAAAGTATCTAGATGAATCAATACCACACTGTTAAAATCAGGGTAACCGCTGGGAAAAAATGAGGGATGGTGGTGGATCAGACTTAAACCAGGTTTCTCTGATAACTATGACTTTCACCCACATAAAAAGCTCCTCAGCCAATCCTTAGCCCTTAAAACGATGTAAGCAGGTGTCAGGGAAGCCCTAGGGGGGGGAAATAAGAGGTAAGAAATGCTAGACAACCAGAGCCTTGAATCAGAGAAAGCAGTTACTAGGGAGAGAGGCCTGAGTGCCAGAGCTTTCACTAACCAAATGAGATCCTCTCACTAAAAGGACACAAAGATCTGAGTAAAAAATAAAAGGGCAAAGGGCTCTCTCCCTCAAGAGAGCATCAAAATCTGTGAATACGGATACTGACCCTGTGGGAATCAGACACCTGCCTGAGAGGGATAAACAGACACATCCTGTGAAGGATCAGTGGCCAGTGTGTCATGGCATTACATTGTAAGCTATCGAAGCTTACAAAAAGGATGTTTCTAAACGAACATTCATTGTGCCCCCGACAGAGGGGACATGGTATATGAGGGTATCAGAGAATTAAGTAATATAGGCAAAATTCAGAAAACCCACCTCAGAGTTAATACAGTGCAGAGCTTCCACTAGGATAGTTAAAATACCAACTAAAGAAACCAAGATGGCTCAGTGCCAGCCAGACTGTGTATAACAGAAGTGAGGCCAGGCTGGATGGGAAGTATTTTGGAAGTCTTACAGTCATCAGCAATTCCTTACTGAGAAGGAACTTGAAAATGATAGCTGAACCTACTGTACATCCTTGGCATTGATCTCATATATTCATTCATAGGAAAACTACAAAAAGGAATTCTACCTGGTTCTAATTAACTGGGTGAGTTTTGTCATTCTCTACAAATTCTTCTATCACTCTTATAAAGTCTCCATGAAATATCTGACATTATACAGAAAAATACCTGCACGAGTCAAGGTTTGTGACCAGTGAATAAAGCCACGGAAACAGCCTTTATAGAAGTTGTCTCAGTACCTTTATTTTCATCTGAGTATCCTACAGATCAAACAAGCAACTATTACTACCTGGAAGTCAGAAACCAGACATCAAAAGAAGGGAATACCTGTCCTTTTGATGTTTGGCTCCTACTTGTAACACAAGTTTCTGGATAGCTTTCCACTTTGTACCTCCCTTCCCAGCTTAACACTGCTCCAAGATCAGTGACCGTGAAGTTTGCACTATAGATTACTTAATTTGGGGCCATTTTAAACTTTGAGTTTGCCAGCTTGTCTTCAGTTTCAGGCTTTTATAATGGTTGTTTACTGGCTTAGTATACCTACTCTTTGCTCCCATCATGCTCTCTCCCTTGTCTCCATCTAAATACCACAGAAGTCTTCTTTCCTCCTTAAATCTCCAACCCTAATCCATGTTTCTCTCCCATCTCCAATACCATACGAAGCGGATGTTACTTCAGAGTCCAATATTTAAATGTCTCATGTTAGTTTTGCTTATAGAACCACACCATTAATCTATTTGCCACAGGTCTTGTGTTACACATATAGCATATATTTTGGAGCAGCACTTAGGTCCCTGGTGGGTATACAATAGCGATTCAAAGTGAGGAAGTGATTCAACATATGAAGAAAATGGAGGCACAAATTAGGGACGAGTCATCAAGTATTTTCCCACTTGTCTTCTACAGGTCAGCTCTAGGGGTAGGCCAGACACTGAGAAAACACATTCGTAGGTTTGCCCTAGTTTTCTAAATTTCTGTGTAAATGCTTAAACAGAGGTGAGCTTATACTGGTTATCAAATCTTAACCTTCCCTTTTAAAAAACGTGGTATCACAACTAGTTATTTTTCCCATGTAACATAATATACGTAGATCTTGAGAGCTGTGTATTTCATCAATGGTCATACCTTAATCTAAACACCCTTAATGGAAAGTGATTCCTCTTCAATTTACCCTGCAGAAACTATTACAGCATTTTTGTCATTTCCTTTTATTATTTCCAGATGCAGATTTAGTGGGTCAAGAGATAATAACACGTTGCCAAATAACTTCCTCCCAAGCTGTACCAGTTTTGAACCTTACAAGTAGTGTGTAAAACTATCACTTGTACTCTGGTCAGCAGTGGCTAGGCTCATTTACAGAATTTGATAAAATGTTTAGTTGTTTTATTAGAGATGTTTAACATTTAAAAAGCTTCTATTGGCAACATACGCTTTTGTCCTGTGCCCATTCAGTTGATTCTTAGTGATTTCAACATCTATAGGAGCTCTTTATATACCAAGAGTTGTATTTCCCCTAGTGTTTTTTATAGTGCCTGATGTTAAGATTTTAAAGTTTTATATAATGAAATGTTAGTTTCCCCTTCCACTGTTAAAAGATGTCATTTTAATGGAGGTTTTATATTTTCTTAATCCACCCAGAATTTATTTTCTAAGTTACAAACTGAAAATCTGCATTATTTTCCCCAACTAGTTAATTCTGTGGTACCATTTACGGGTAATCTTTACATATGTATAAATTCCAAAATACATAAAGATGGGGGAATTCTCCCTTTACCTCCCCTCCCCAATCCCAGAATGACTGTGTAAGCTTTCAAATCCTATGTGCATATTCACACCATATACAACCTTTAAAACTAAATGTGTATTCTGTATTTGATTTGGTGAGACATATTGCCCCACACCTTTTCTCGTTTTGTCATGGGCATCTTTCTGTCCACACATACCTAGCTCATTCTTTTTAATATCCACATTACTCTATAATCTCTATGTGCCAGAATTTAGCCAGTCCCTTATTAACATTTAGGTTGTTCCCAATACTTCATTTTTACAGAAATGCTGTAATAGTCATAAGTGTACAAATATATTAGAGCATTAGGGATTTCAGGACTATTCTCAGAAGTGGAACTGTTCAAAGGATTGATATACTTATAACTTTGATGAGATAGAGGCAAATTCAATTTGTAAAGAACCACTTTAATTTGTACTCCCAGCAAAAATGTTAAAGTTCATTCACCTACACCTTCAGCAACATGGGATAAACATCTTCTGGAAAAAAATTTTTTGCTTACCTAGTATGTAGTTAATATCACTGAGCATCTTTCACACATTCATGTATATGTTTTGCTTATGTGAATATTTTTGTTCTTTTTTATACTAGGTTGTTTGCTTCCTTTACTGATTTCTAAGAATTAAATCCTAAGTATTCTTGGGTATGTTGGAAACATTTTTTCCAAACTCATTTTCCTTCTCTGGGTCTGTGTGTGTGTGTGTGTGTGTGTGTGTGTGTGTATAATCACACAAGTATGTCAACCTTTTCCTTTGTGAACTTTGGCATTTATGTCACATCCAGGGAAAATGCTCCCAAATCAATATTCTAAATATGATTTCCTGTATTTCTTGGTATTTCTATAGTTTCTTCCAAATATGTGACTTTTCCTAATATTAATTATTAAAGCGGTCATCCTTTCCCCACTGATTTGAAATGCTATTATAGAACATTCTAAATTCCTAGATGTACATGGGTCTTTTAAGGTACTCTCTTCCCAATGATTTCTGATTATTCAATTGTTAAAGGTTATCACTATTTCTAGGTCACCTGGTCTGTCATAGTGGTATCTGTTCTCACACCAGTATCACTTTGGTTTAATTATCATAAAGACATAAATGTTGCCCTAGAATAACACTTGTAAATGGTTTCCAAGGATGTTTGATGCATTATTTGAAGTAGCAAACACTGGAGTCAACCTGGAGGTCTATCACTAGTGATTTGGTGGAAAGATAAAATGTGGTTTATCCATAATATGGATTATCATGCTAGTTAAAACAATGCCACTGCAAAAGGAATCAAAAAGAACACTCTGAATGGACATGAAGACATCCAAGATAATTCGCTGAATAAAAACAGCAAGTTGCAAAAACAATACCTATAGCGTGATACCATATTTGTGTAAAAGAAAACACAAAACGTATTTTATATATATATATCCATGTATGTTTTTAAACAGGTACATAATTTAGAGATCTAGAAGGAAATAGAACTGAGAATAGTGGTTAACTCTGGAAAGAGTAAGAGATTGGAGGCGAAGAAATTGAAACCTGAGCCTACTCTGTAATATTTACACCTTTCATTATAAGGATAATATATTCACATACCAATTACATGACAAAATCTGTATTAAAATACACATATTCAATGATTTTCTAATCTATTCTTATGCTTAGATCTCACACATAGCTGGACTTTTCAGTAAATTATCAGTGTATAATACATTTTGTAGGCATACCATTCAGACTGGTTTCCCTCCCCCCTCCTAGGTTCTGCCCATTCTTGGAGGTGCAGGTCAAGGTCCTTTTCCTCTCTGAGGCTTTCTCCATTTCAGGATACCCTGGACCTTGCCTTCTCTGAGCTTCTACTGGCCTAACAGCCCCACTCCCTCCCTTTTGCCCTTAATCATTCTCCAAATGGCCTCCTGTAAAGGGGTTTTGTGCCTACCCATCTACTGCATCTTTTCCGCCAGGGCAGCGCCCTCCTCTGCAACCCAGCTTTCAGAAGAGAAAAAAAAAAAATTAGAAGGAAAATATAGTGACTCCATTGGAAAATGAAGCTCTCAAGTCACTGAAAAAACCTTCCTTCATCCCCTCATGCAAGTGATGGGCTACTTAGGAATGGAGACTCCAAAGGCTAACATTTTGGTATGGGTGTGTCACAAATGAAGTGTGAACAACATCTCCTATGGTTTGTTGGAATAAACCTTTAAATACACATATACCATGCCAGTTACATTTATATCCATTCTCTTCTGGATCTTGGAACACTTCCTTTATGTTTAACATATTTTTTGAGTCTGAGACAAAGGAGGAATGACACAAAAGCTGTTAGCAGACTGAATATGGTTATGATTTCCTAGTTAAAATTATAGCTCCTGGAAATTCCCTTGTAAATAAATACGATCAATATACTCAGTATCTTTCTAGATTGTTAGGACAAGCCAGAAGTCATAATTTCAGAATTCAGTTCTAGTGGTAACTGCTGCTTCTGGAAAAATCAGGAAAAAAACCAACAGTATTAATTTTTTTACATTTCCGAACAGAAGAATCCACTGCTTTTAGAAGTTTAAGAGTGTATGTGTGGGTAGGTAAACCAGGATGTACCACAAGGACTAACAGAACCATAATCATTATTAAAGCAAACACTTATATGTGCCAAGCACTGTCCTGGTACTTTACACGTAATCCCTTCAAAAATCCTATGAAGGAACTATTATCATCTTTATTTTACACATGAGGAAATTTAGGGACAAAAGGAGGTAAGTATCTTGCCCAGGATCACATAGTAAGTGGCAAAGATAGAATTCAAATTAAGGAAGTCAGTATTTGCTTTCAACCACTAAATTATGCTGTACATGAGATGCCACAATTTTTTAAAAAAAAAAAGAATTATACATATATATACACATATATATGGAACTAACTCTAGGGTATCAATTGTAGCATCTTTTATCAAAGAATGTAAGATTATACAGTCCTCTGTTGTTTGGGCACTTGCTATACTGGAAGCACCCATCCTTTCCTTCTTAGAATTTAGAGTGCTTTCCCAGATAGCCGCTTATTAATCTTCAAAATATTCCTGGACAGTTAGGAAGGTTATGTGGAATTATCTTGTTTGAGAATTGAGGCCAGGAGAAGGGAGGCACTTACCCAGATTCTGTAATCAGGGATGGTTCTGCAACCTGGATCAGATCTTCTGATCCTTACTATACAGCAAACTTAGCTTTTCTGATGATGGCCTGGAAGGTCAAAGAAGGGGACAGAAAAGGACATAAAGTAAAAAGATATGAGATCCTTTTTTTTCCTCCATTAACCAATGCATTTTATCACACACAAAGGACACCACAGCTGATAAACAATGTACAAATGTTTCTTTTTCCTTTCTTGTGGTTTTATTTTCAAAATTACTGTATTGTGCATTTATCTTTATTTTTGATAAAGTAACTGTCTTTTTTATACTTTTTATGAAGGATAATTTCAAATGAATAAAAATGTAGAAGAAGAGTATTATAAACCTATACCAATCACCCAGCTTCAACAATTACCAACTGAAGGCCATCTTGTTTCATCTATAACCCCACCCACTGCTCCCCCCCACTCCGATTTTTTTAGGCTCACCGAATAGCTGATTTTCTGCATTTTATTATGGAAAATGTCAAACATATACCAAGGAAGACGGAATAATATAAGGAACCCCATATGCCCCATCACTCAGCTCAAACAATTATTAACTTAGGGCCAGTTTTGTTTCATCTATACCCCTCCCCACTTCCCCCTACCGCTGAGATTATTTTGAAGCAAATCCCAGTCATCAACGTATCTTAAGTCATTCCCAGACATTTTATTACTTAATCCGCAAATATTTTCCTATCTCTACAAGATAATTTGAAAACATAACCATTAATGCCATTATACGTCTAAAATATCGACATCAATTCCTTAAAAAACCATCAAACCCGTCTTCAAATTTTCCCGACGCATCTTAGTTTTTTTTTTTTAGTTGGTGTGTTCGAATGAGGATCCAAACAAGGCCTACTCATCGCATGTGGTTCATCTCTTGATCGCTCTCGTTCTCCATCGCCCCCCAACCCCCGCCTTTTAAACTTTTCAATATGGAAAATTCCAATCCCCGCTATTTCGAGCTAATTCTCAAGTAGTAAATTATTTCACCGGCAAAGACTGGTGTGTCTCTTTTATAGGTCGAATTTCTTATAGGAAAGAATTTGATGGGCAGGAAAAACACTATAATGAACGATTTTACATAATTTATGTTTTTTTCTCATTCTGTTACGCGGGTTTTTCACTCCACAATAACAGCGAATAGCTTTCGGAACCAGGATTGGTATTAAGTGCCTTATACGCACTAACACACAGTACGAGCCTCTGAGGTACACGTCTCTGAGGTAGATACTATTATTATCACCATTTTACAAACATGGAAACCGAGACGCTGAAAGAACAGGAGCCAGCCCAAGCTGGGCGTTGGCGAGGAGGAATTTGAATGCAGCTCTGCCCAACTGTGAAACCATTAGTTAATCCTGTCAATATATGCGACGATAAAAAGAAATCGTCAACCCTTTCACCCCACCCCCACCCCGAAACCTGAAACGAGAATCCAGTTCTTTCCAGCAGCCGACGTGTGATCACTGCCGTCCCTCCAACCGCCATAGTAAAGCCAGGTTTCTCTGGCAACTGATATCCATAGGCAGACACGTCACCATGGAGGCGGGCTTATAGCCTCCAGCCAATCACAATCGTCTTGCCTAAGTTTTAGAATGTTCCATAACCAAATGATTGGACGAGGCCTAACACGTCAGCGATGACACTTCGCCGCAGTAAAGGCGGGTGCTAGCAACCTGCTTCTTCACGGTTAAGGCTTGAAGCAAGCCAATCATCTTTCTCCTTTAGTGCGGGCTCTGGCCAATGACGCTCGCCCTCTTAGGTTCTTAGCCCGCCCTCCAAAAGCGCGACAGCCGTTGGGTCATAAGTCTATAGGGCAGGGTGTTCACGTGGCCTATTTTCACGACCCAGAGTTCCCCTGACCAGAGGTTTTTTTTTTTTTTTCTTTTTTTCCTGCACGGAGGCATTATGGGTTTTTTTTTTTCCACTGGGAAAGGAAGTGTCTACGTGGCCTGCGGAAACAGGATGGGCGGAAATGAGCTAAGGTTCCCGCGAGTGGGGAAGCGCGAGGTCAAATTTGGGGCCACGCCCCCCAACCTCTTGCGCAACTGTCGGAGTAAAGAAAAATAAAAGCGGAGCGGGGGTTTTAATGTGTGTGTGAGTTGGGGTGGTGGGTGTGTGGGGGCGTGGTGTTGGGGCCTGTCTGTGTGCGGGCGAGCTCGCGTAGCCTTGGGGTTGCGATGTATGCGCGGCAGCCCTCGTGGCGTCGGTGGTGGTGGGTGTGCGCAGGCGTGCGCCCCTAGCGTTGGGACACAGCGTTGGGGCCGGTGTGTGTCCCAGACGGGGGCGTGTATGTGTGTGCGCGCACATGTGTATGTGAGTGTGTGCGTGCACGCGCGCTGTGTACGGAATGGTCTCTACTTTTGTATAAGTTTGAAAATTGTTCTAATGAAAAGGAAAATAAGTCAAGGCGACCATAACCAATAAAGAGGCTTTGCCAGAAATATTTTGGCCTCTCCTAGCGGTTTAATTTCAGACCCTAAAAATACTCTTTCTTCCCACGTTTTTCTCTGTTGCCAAAATCCTGTTCTAAACCATAGCCCTCCAATAGTTAAGAGCCAAACGCTCCCATCCCCATGTTAGCAATTCCAAGGTGCAGCTTCTTTCCTGTTCCCTGGTATCCTCCCCCCCCCCCCCAAAGTGGCCTGCCATTCTCTTGGCACAAACACAATTTTCTGCCGGTAATATAATGTGATAGCTTTCCCCTCCAGTCTCTTTCTCTCTCTCTTTACACACACACACACACACACACAGACTCCGAATTTCTGTAGGGGCTTAGGCTCTCTTACCTTTTTGTCCTGATCTCCAAGCACAGTGTCCTTCAGGCAAGTACGCACACAGCTAGTTTTCCAGAAAGTTCTCTGGCTGAGGTTTATACCTCTTGAGTCTGCCAGTAGATGCCACCAAATCCCAGCAAAGGATTGGCTGTTTAGTCCCTGGAATTATGGGATTTTGTTTCCCCTCTTCCTGATTTGTTGAACTCCACAAACAATGTATAGGGATCATGTATACCTTTCATTGCTAAGGAAAAAATCAAATCAACTTTTGAAAATAGCCCAACCAGGCAGAGGACTATGGCCCTAGATCCAAATGTTTTTCCTTGCTTCTTCTTAAGAAAAAAATTCCCCCCTCCAGTCCTCTCCTTGCCTTTTTTGGGGGGTCAGAATTGATGAATGACCCCAGGCCCTGTTGCTGATGATCTGAATCCTTTCTGTGCATCTTCTTTTCCAATGCTAACAACATTCCCCAGTGGAAAATATAGGTGGCTGTTTAGTCAATAAAGACAGATAAAAACTTGGACCCTGATATGTAAAACTGATCTTTTTCTCTTGAAATTTTTATTAAATATGTGTGTTTGCACCCTATTTTTTGTAGTGGTACGGCTACACTTTGTTATGTCTTTGGAGTTAGAGACCTAATTTTGATTCCCCACTTATTAGCTGTGAGACCTTGGGCAAACGATTTATGTTCTGTGATACTCCATTTTCTTGCATGCTTTCTATATTTTAGATGCTGTGTTATATCCTTTACATGGATATTTTTTTATTCCTCAAAATCCTTATTAGATGGGTATGAATAAAATTCAAAAAACAACAATTAGTATATCTTTCAATTGCCAATCATACACATTTGTGTGCCTGCATATGTGCTCATGCACACACAGAGGGGAGGGGCGAGATCTGGAGCTGTGGTTCTCAAAGAGTGTTTTCGAGACACACCGCTAGCATTACTATCACTTTGGGGGAAGTTTTCAGAAATTCAGATGCTCAGGCCCCGCCTCAAGCCTAATGAATAAGAAATCCTATGGTTTGGTGATCTGTGTTACACTCTTCTGGTGATTCCAATGTACGCTGAAGTTAAAACCACGGTTTTGGAAGGCAGAAATGCCATGCTGATTTTTGTACACTCCACTAGAGGGTGCTACAGAATGTAAAGCGAGGTAATAAATGATATGTTTATTGAGACACCCTGCATATTTTATCAAAAATTTTTGTCCTTTCTCATTGATGTATAGTTGGCATACAATGTTATATTAGTTTCAGGTATACAACATCCTGCATGTTATCAGACCCATTTTAAGATTAAAAAACTAACGTATAGAGGTGTTCAGTTGTTTTCTTGGTGTGTACAAGAATGGGAGTCAGGATTTGAACTTTACCTGCTTCTCAAGCCCAGGCCCCTGACAGTACTCTGTTTTTCAGCTATAATAGCTTGTCTTTCTGGGCCTCAAAATATGTAACAGATACCTTGTTCCCTGCTTTGGATAACATTGACTAGAGCGCCAAGAACAGGGCAGGAAAGCAAACCAAATAAGTGGAAATATTTTGATGATTTCATACCCTCCCACATATCTGTTCTATAATAAGATATCATGTAAAGCTCATGAGTATTTTCCTTCTTGCTTTTATATTTCCCAAATGCTCTCTCTACTCTACACTTCTCTTTGTTAGTTTATGTCTGAACCTTATCTAAGTGTGGGAGAGAAATCAAGGTGGTGAGGAAACACAGTTGTTGAAAGCCTATTATGGGCCACACTGTATAGCTCTATACACATTAATCCCAACAATAGGCCTGTAAATTAGGTGATGATTATCATCATTTTATAGATGATGAAAGTGAGTTCTAGAGACTATAATTATTTTTCTTTGGTCATACAACTTGTAAGTGGTGGAGTCTGGGTAATTCCTTGTATATCTGACAGTATTACCTTGCTAAACTTTCTACTGCTCAGTTTTGAATCTTGTTTAGTTACTGTTTATGTAACTTTCATGTTATTTAATTTTTCTGAGCCTCAGTTTTACCATAAATTAAGTGGGAGCAAATATTCCTGCTTCATAATGTTAGAGTTGCAGTATCCAAAACAGTAGCCACTAGACACGTGGGTATTTAAATTTGAATTAAAGTTAAGTAAAATTAAAAATTCAGTTCCTCAGTTGTACTAACCACATTTCAAGGGCTCAATAGCTACTTAAGGCTAGTATTAGTACCATCTTGGACATCCACAGATACAAAACATCCCCACCATCCCAGAAAGCTCTATGGTACAGTGCTGATTTAGAGTATATAAAGTATGTAAAAGGACTTAGCATAATGTATAATTCATGGCAGGTGCCCAAGAAAAGTGATTTCCTTTGCTCTTTCCTTTCAGCATTAGGGCTAGGTATGTTCTGTTTTATTGACGGAGTCAGGAGAAGGGAGTAACTTACCCAATGTACTATAACAGAGGATATGTCTGGCATTGGGACCTACATCTCCTAACTCTCACTCCAATATTCTCTCTAACGGACCCATCCTTATGTGCTACTCTGTTGAATGAGATCTCAAGGCTGAGGATGTGAATAATGTGAATTAAGTTTGGAGTCAGGGTAGTAGCAGAAAAAGACAGGAGCTGAATGCCTTCTATGTGCCAGTCAGCACTGTGCTCAGTTCTTTACATTTATTATCTTAGGGAATCTTCACTGAAGCCCAGAGAAGTTAAATACTCACTTCAAGTTTCCAACTAGTAAATGGCAGAGCAAGCATTCACAAGCATTCAGACTTCTTTCTGACTCCAAAGCCCATGTTTTGTTTTGTTTTGTTTTCATTATGCAATGCTACCCTCTGCAATGTGAAAACTCTCCTGCCCCTTCCACTTACTAAGTAGGATAAAGCTTCAGCAGATTCCTGCTTCTTAGTGGGTCCTCAGAAAATGCAAGTTACTCTTCTTCCTTTTGCATTTATAGCTGAACCATTGTCTTCACAATCCGTTTCAACTGGAAGGGAAAGATAGCTGAAATTACTTTTTGTTTGGCTTCAAGACCCAAGTCCAGACAGAGAGTTTACAGTCCCAGCCTTCAGAGAAAATACCAAATGGCTCCAAGATCTCTCTCCGTTAATTTTCAAGATCCCCATTTGCTCATACAGTGCCTTTGTGCTCATTAGAAACCTGAGCCACCTGGGGGCAGACAAATTGTAGGGAAGTGTCCACTCCAGTGAAACAATGAGAAAAATATCTCTCTTTCTCAGGGGTGTTGGAGATAAAATATCTCTCTTTCTCAGGGGTGGTGCCCCACCAGGGCAGTGGAAGAATGAATTTCAGCCTCTGCGTGTTCCCTCTCATTGGGTACCCTTGTGCAGGGGGCACCCTGCCCTGCCTAACGGTATCTGTTGCCCTTACCTGGTGGCTAAGAGCCTTCCTAGGTCTGGAAGGTAGTGTCAGTCTTTTCTGGAGAGAGTAGATAGGGTCACCAGTATCCTCTCATGGCTTCTGGATAGTAGATGAAATTGTTGCATTCTTAGGTTATTTTGATATTTTTTCATTTGGTTCTTACTAGTTTATTGGATGATTTTTAAAAGACTTTGGTTAATTTATTTATTAATTTTTTTTTAAAGATTTTATTTATTTATTTGACAGAGACAGAGACAGCGAGAGCAGGAACACAAGCAGGGGGAGTGGGAGAGGGAGAAGCAGACCCCCCACCGAGCAGGGAGCCTGATGCGGGACTCGATCCCAGGACCCTGGGATCATGACCTGAGCCGACGGCAGTCGCTTAACCAACTGAGCCACCCAGGCGCCCAGACTTTGGTTAATTTAAAAGTTAAAAAAACTTAATATTTCAAGGCTAAGCAAAATGGTATTT